ATTAACTACACCCTATCCTACTTGATTGCTTAATTGAGCATCCCTGTGCTGACAGGAGAAGATAATCTCTTATGAGCACTGAAGGCATGAATGTATTACAAATAATATTGCTCAGAAATGAAAGGAGAGTTGCAGTTCTCCTTTTTGCAATTTGAATGCATTTTTGTTTTTTCTCTGCTAGTATAGGAGACTTATTGCTATCTAGTTATTACATACTGGCAAATTTCTCATCCACTTAACCTGGGGATGTTTTAATCTTCCAGGCACATAGTCGCCTGGCTGCATGCTTCTGTATCAGTTTTAGTTGTATGGGTGTTTTTCCCCTTGGCATCCTGGATTTAGACCATATATAGCTGTTATAATACTGGCCCATTAACATGGGCTCTACTTTTGCAACAAACCCATTGAGCTTATAGGCTGCAAATCAGGAATATGGGTTTAAATCCTTTTTACTCGCAGACTGAGGTATGTGCCTATCTGTAGGCCCTTGCTTTTATAGGATCCTAAATATGGATTGTAATGCAGCAGCTTGCTTCTGCAGCTTCTTCCATATGGCACCTTTGTGATTTTAAATGTCCACAACACCCAACAGCTAGCTTGAGGGCAGGTCTACTCATTTTTCTGAAATCTCTTCTGATTTTTTTTTTTTAAACTTTTCCCTAAGGATCACAATCTGTGGCATAGCTTGAGTAATTATAAGATGTAGTAGTGTGAACTTCTCGGATTCTGTGGTGAATATAAGCTTTTTATATACAGGGATTACATTCCAATTTCATGACAGTCTACATGAAATATTTTTGAAGCTTGCTAAATGAAAATCCTGATGTGTTAAATGCTGTAATATCTGTTGAGATGTTGCTAAAGATTATCAGCAAGTATTTAATGCAAAACGTTTGAAAGCTTTCTTTGCTCCAGTGTTTCTGTTACACTTCAAGTTCAGTGTTGTGGGTTGTGATTTCAGAAAGACAGTTCTATCTGTCACTTGCACACTTCTCTAAGCTCAGTTTATCTGTACTGGAAGAAGCATGCAGCCAGTGCAGTCCTATTTTTCCTGTTTTCAACTTTCTGTCATTTACAGCAAACTGCAGAAGAGGTTTTATTTTGAAAACGTGTCTGAGAGACAAGGTAACTTCCTGTCACACCTTTTCACTAAATTCCAAATTTCTGGGGAGACTTTCTCTATTCAGTCACCATTGGATGTCTTGAGACCGTTTTGATTAAATTCACCACCATCCAGGTTGCTTCCATCTGTTTATCAAAAGCATATGTGTAACGTGTCTGGTCTCAGTCTCATTCCCATTTGGTCAGATGCTTTCATTTCATTTACGTCAGTTGACCTTCTTCCCTTCGCTGCCATATCTGCTGTGGCCTTTAAGCTGAAGCAGAAGGTGACGGTGGTCCTTAAGATGTCAGGCTGGTACTTCAGCACGTAGATGCCAAATGAGTGAGACACCACCATGGAGGTAAAGGAAGCAGTGAAGCACTTGATGTATATCTGTTGATTTTGCAGAGCAAGGGAGGGTAGTTTGTTTAAAGAACAAAAAAAAAAGAGGGGGGAATTTTAATGAGATATAGCAAGCTCGTTTCAGTCGTCTTATAGAACAAATAGTTTGGCATTTGTTTTTAGTTCTCGCCTCCTGTATTACCTGTATTACGTAGCTGCCAAAATGCCATTGTGGATCCCAGATTTTGTGTCCCCAACCATCACTTATTGAGAGATATGGCTTGGCTAGATCACACAGAAGCTTTGTTCCTGAGGCTGGAGGTCTGTTGCTAGACCTAGATTTGCATCTGTTGGAAATGATATGTCCTCACTGTTTGGTAGGATTTCTTATTCTGAATCTTACTCAGCCTTACATTCCCTGAAAGTTATTTTGTTCTTGATATTCAACAGAAAAAGGTCAGCTGCAGTGTCCTTCTGAGTGGTTCCCTGAGGATGCGCTTATACTTATTAGCTAAAAACAATACTAACCCTTTAGGGAGAAAAGATGTCAAAACATCCCTACCAATCTCTGTTCTAACGGTTTAATCAGGAGGTGTCTATCACTTCAGATTTCTAGAACCATGCACACACAGTTCTCTGACTCAGCAGCAAGAAAAAGTATAGTATTTCTTATTGTGGTAAGTTCTAAGATATGCAGACTGATTTTTAAGCTCATATGTTGTATATTTAAAGCAGATGAATGGAGAATTATCGTTTACAGAAGCACAATACTTGGTGTTTTATTTTAAACCTAACACATTACACATTTGTTACATCTGGAATCCCTAATATACATCAGATATTCTGTAGTTATAGCCTGGTATTGTTGACACAAGCTTGTTCCACTGTGATCATATTAGTTTATTTTATACTGCCTTTAAAAAATATACAGTATCTCTCTTTCCCCTATGTTCAAAATCTTCTAACCTATAGAAAATACACTGACTTTTTACAAACGCTGATTTGTATTTCAGCTGATGTTCTGAGTGAAGAAGCTATCCTGAAGTGGTATAAAGAAGCGCATGTTGCTAAAGGCAAAAGTGTTTTTCTTGACCAGATGAAGAAATTTGTGGAGTGGCTGCAAAATGCTGAAGAAGGTATGAATTTATTTAAGCAAAGAAATATGGTCACCTCTTGGCAAATCAAATCTGTTTTTCAGATATTAGTTGTCCCGGGCGTATGAACTGTATAGTCTCAAAATAGAAAATAGCAGGCAGTAACCGCCCCAGATTGCTTGCAGCCATGCCCAAATCTAGCATTTGCTGCTTTTTAGTGGTGATAGGATCCTTATAAACTCCTGAAGTCATCAGATACTACTTGTCTGTAAACAAATTCTTTAAGCTTCTGCAGGGAAGAAGAAATTTTGGGGGATGCATCTGCATAGCCAAATGACAGTGCAAGCGTAGCATGTGCTGACGAGCCTGTGCAACCTCACTGTATGGCACTGATGACAGTAGGAAATGTGTTGGTGTTAGCAGGTACTATCAATAACAGTTTTCTCTGCTATTGTTATCTGTACTGACTACGTGAACATACATAAGCCTGCCTGTGGCACTACAGCTGCAATTGCTTTTAGCTGAATGACCAGGCTAAGAGATGCAGCCTGCATTTGCTGCTGCAAAACAGCTACCGGAGAGGGGGAGTTAGCTTCTTTAGTCCCTGACTTTTGTTTTTCTTGTGTTATACGTAGGAAATTTTTTTTTGTACTGAACAGATAGATTCTTTCTTTTTTCCTTGAAAAGGAGTCCCACATCAAGTGGGAAGATCAACTCCTGCATAATAGATGAGGATGTAATTATTAGTGTTCATTATATCCATTTAATGTAATTAATTGTAGAATCTTTGAGGGAATATGTAATGTGAAGGAGCAGACAAGACATTGCAGCAGTTTGCATATGGAGGTAGCAGTGTAAAAATGGCAGCTCCTTTCACATACCCTTTAGACTAGCAAGTCTTGGTCTAATTAAGCTTTTTTCCTGTTTTAATCTTCTGCTTATATTCTTTGTTTCTCCTTTTTATTTTTCCCCTTTCTTGCATGTCCCCTCTACCGGCTGTCCGTAATTACAAAGCTTAGTAGTAGCAGAGACAAAGTGTTACTGTAAGAACATGCGGACCATGTTTGTTCTGCAAAATCTGATCTAACATTTAATATTCATTGACAACAAGCCTTTCCTGTCAGGTGAATGGAAGGACATAAATGCAATATAATGCAAAGTAGCTTGAAGTGACAAAAACAGTGTATGTTCCTATTTCTAATTTTCTTTTATCCTAGTCTGAACGAACATAAAAATTTTTTGTTAGTGCATATTTCATGCCTGCTGCAGAGTAAAACCACAGATGGTTTTTGAGATAGGCTGAATGATGTAAGTAATGTTTGCAGAGCAAATAGTGAAGAAGGTACTAGTATTTCGATAGACAGCCATACAGCCTACTCAAAGAGATTAGAAGAACAAGCAAATAATGCTGATTCTTTATTAAACTTAAAGTGATATCAGGTATGCATTAGTTGAGCCTGCAAATTAGGACCAGAAATACTTCAGTGATCTGGGTTTGTTCGAGTAACTGATCTCTAAATGCAGAGCTCCACAGTGGTTTGTAACAGAGCATATCTTAGCTTTCTGATGCTATGTGTTTCTTGCTGGCCTATTCTGTTTAATCTGTTCAACCTTTCCTAGGAGGTGCTAGGTGTAAAGAAAACTTTAATTTGAATTTTGAAAGGATAGTTCTTGCTATGGAATAACCCACACCACTGTTCTTGTGCAACGTATCTGAAGTGTTTCACTTTCTTTCTTCTAGAGTCGGAGTCTGAAGGGGAGGAAAACTAAGATGGTTCTACAAAGCACAGTCTCAATCTAGTTTAATGCCAAATGCGCTTGGGAATGCCGTACTGTTCAAGCAAAGAGGCTTTACTTCAGTGTCATACAGAAAACTATAGGCTAGGCTTTCCTTTTGTTTAGAAGAATAAAGGTTTTTAATGGAGCCCTGAGGCATTAGATTCTTTACTTGGGACTCTACCTCTGGCTCATTGTACACTAACTTAGACAAAGACATTCAGCAAGGAGCCATGTAGGAAAGGTGAAATGAAATACTTATGGACTCCTTTTTATTAACGGTCTTTTTCAGGTACTATGGTATATGAACACTCCAATTTCTGTTTATAGAACTGTTTGGTCTGTGTTTGTAGCTCAATATTGGCTTGTGTATGTGATTTGACACCACCACATTTTTTTGAATAAATGGCTTTTATATCTTAGTTTTGTGGTGTTAGTGTGTATGTCTTATAAATTTGCCACTAAGAATTTACAATTCTTTAAGTGCAAAGTACACAAGAACGACACTAGACTTTTTGGTTTTGTATTCCCTATATTCACAGAATCAACATCCCTAGTTAACTGGGATCACTATCTAATCTTTATTATCTTACTTTCTATATCACTTTGGACAGATTAATCAGATTGCATAGCAAATGTTGATATATTCAGTTTATTAATTCAAAGAAAATGTAGAAGAACAAGTCTGCAGAGTTCTAGTTTTGCATGTGCAAAATTTATGCAAATAACGAATAATATGCAGTCTTCCTTCAGACTACACTCAATTATTGGCAATGGCTGTTCTCATTTTAGAACTATTAGCTTCAGAACATGCATGAGTAAAAGTCATTACATGTGAAAAGTGGAATCTATTTATACCAATGTGACATAAGTCACAGCAAGATATTTGACCAAAATACTGCATTGAATATATAAACTTCTCAAACTGCATACTGCTTTCTTTAATATTCCCTTGTGCCTTGATGTGATGTCATTTACAACTCTAGTGCCTGGGACCTGGCTAGGATGTTGTATACATAGAGCCTATCTGCAGCTTTGTTGTACATGCGTGTAGCCCTCAAAACACAAGTCCAGAGCTAGAGCTCTGACGTTGTGCAAATCCGCAGCCAACACTCGGGTTCACAGTTACTGGCATCCTGCACTGTGTGGAAGGTCCTGAGCAGCACCATCTCCCAGCTTGCACTTTTTTCACACAGCAGTCAGGCAGATAAACAATTGCTACCATTTCCTTTTCCGCAAGCAGAGTTACTTTGCAAATAGTCTTCTCCTGCCCCACTCCACCATTTGCTGTCTGTGCCTCTGACCACACTGGTTCCCAGAAGCAGCTGTACAGTTGCTTAAAGTCATACGCATACCAACAAACAGATGCCCAAAAGTGAATAGCTTGTATGCTACCACTGACAGAAGTCACAATTTTGAATTTGAAAAGTTTTCTAAGGTATTAATGAATATGCAGTTGGGAGTATATAAAACTGCTTTTCCATGTAATATAAAACTCCAGCTGACTTCAGAGGTGCCAATCTAGAATAATGTGCAAAGGATACAGTAAAATACACCTGTGGGTGAGATTGCCAGTGCATGGTGAGACAAGGCTGCCTGCAGGCTGTACGAGCCATCTGCTGGAGAGAAAAAAACATCATTGGCAGAAGTCACTTTGGTGAAATGCAGCTAGTCTTTCATGCCTGCATCTGTCTTCAGTGTGCAATGGATGTAAGCAAAGCCATGTGGGATCCATTTCCCTGAAATCTCAGCATCTACAAGCCAGGTACCTATGGCTTAACTCTTGTACTGGCCCCCTTCCCAGTTGCTAGAGAGAAACAGGTGCTTTTAGGACAGGAGCCACTACCCAGCCCACAACTTGTGTTCTGGACTACACCGACAAGCCCACAGGCTTTACGGGAGACATAAAGTGTCTATCTCAGATTTGGGGAGGGGATTTTTTTTTGTCACACAACCCTCAGCACCTGATGCTTTGTGCCTTTTTATCCGTGCCTAATGTTTAGCTCCTGGGAGCTTCCCTCAGCCTTCCCTCCCCCAGCAACAGGACTTGTCGTTTTGCTTTAGGCATTAAACGTTTCTGATTCTAGTTTTCAGGAATTTTCCCTGCTCAGTCTTGGGAGATCGGTTCAGATGGGGACTTTTCCATGCACACGTGTGCTTTCAATTCGTGCTTAGAACTCCTGCCTGGACGTATGTACCAGCAGCTGAACTAGGTGGCTGCACAAATGCAAGTAGAACTGGTTTGTTTCCGTCGGTCTGGATTTCAGTACAAACACGTGTAATGACTAGGCTTTGGCAAAGAAATGGGATTTAGAACCTGGGCAGAAATTTTGATGCAACTCTCTTGAAGCAAAATATCCCTCTCTGAAAGCCATCACAGAATCTGAATTTCAGTTAAAAAAAAAAAAATCCCAAACCCGAAGTATTTCTTTAACACAACCCTTAAACTACTATTTCTCTGCTGGAGAAATGAAAATCGCAGTCAATACTAAATATATTGTTCAATCTGGAGTTAGTTCTCTTAAGAATAAAAAGACACTTCATTAAAAATGTGCTTCACATGATATATTACACTTAATTTTGAAATATCAATGGGATCTAAATGTCAGACCTGTAAATATCCTTTTTGCTCTACAATAAATTGCAATAAGATACACTTTAAGATGGGGATTACTGAATTAGAAAGTGATTTCTCTCCCCTGGCCTCCCCTTTCTGAAACCACGCTGCGGTTTTAGCTGTGATAACCTTTTATACTGCTTTAAAATATCCTTTTAGCATGTAGCATAGTGCCATTGCAGTGCAGTCCTCTTCTGAAGTGGAGAAAGGAAACTCATCCAGGCTAGACCCTTCTGCACCTTCCCCAGTGTCCAGCCCATTACGGCACTTAGGAGAGGGCTATGTTGGTGGGGATTTTTTTTGTTTTGGCATGTGTGTGTGATTAAGATTTTTATCTAAGAGTTATTCTCAATGATTAGTTCTAGTAATTGATTAACCAATTGGCAAATTAAGGATTGGGTTTCTTTTAACTTTTCTCTTTGTTCAGTCTTACAGATTTAAGTTTGTTTGTTTGTTTGTTTGTTTTTAAACAAACTAACTGCATGTCTTGCCACTCAGTTCATCCACAGATATTAAAAGAATGGCCAGTGTAGCAGATGTTTGGTTTATGTAACAACCAAATGAATCTTCTGTCTCATTCTGTTGAGAGGATGAAATTAGTTGCTTTGTCCTGATAAAAACAACGTGCAGTTAGGAGCTATGCCAAAGCCAAGGGAGATGCTGGTAAATGCCAACTTTCAAAGTCAGGTTTCTTACCTTGAAAGAGATTTTATGAAATGTGAATCCCTAATCCTTGTATGACTGTGCAAACAGAGATCTCCTTCATCAAGTTACTCTTTTAATATTTGAAAAGTGCAGAACATGGGAGGTATCTGTGAATGGATGCATATGTTCATTCAACAAAGAACCCTGAACTCCTGCAATGACTCTTTTTTCTGATTAAGGCCCTGTCCTTTCATGCTTTTGTCAAAACAGATTTGAAAATGCAAAGCCTATTTTGCAATACTTTAAAATATAAACAATTATTAAAATAGGTTTACTGTAAATAATATATTTAATATAGATAATATATAATTTTATTTATAAATAAACACGACTAATCTAAATGTTATTCATGTATTATATTTGCTTATTTAAAATATCCTTAAAATAAATAATACATAGATAAACAGAAAATATTTTATGAAATATAAAATTATTTTTTAAAAACTGGAGTAAAAAAACATTGTAATTGCAATGTTACAAGATATGTGCCTAATACTAAGGGAAAGATAATTAGTTACAGAATATTTTGACTACAGCTCAATTTCAGTCCATTAATTGTTTAAATTTATTTCTAACTGAATAAACTAGCATGTAACTTTTGGAATAGGTTTTAGTTTTGTTGAGAGCCTTAGTAGCTTCACTCCATTACTTTATTTTCAGAAATGCACAGAAAACCAAAACACCTGAATTTTGAAGCACTGTTTATAAGTGAGTAATGCTTTTAGCCTGAGCGCAATCAATTTCTTGGAATTCACCCTACGCTTTACTGTTAATGGAGATGAGTAACAAGTGATTCAGCCTTCTTCATTGATATGCTGTAAGAAATGGCTGGACCTTTCTTACTTTAAGACGACTTACACACTTGATTGTCTAGCTATTAAAGTTGCTTTTGGTTTCCTTTCCTCTAAGTAACTCTCGGATCTATGCATTATTTTAGCTCTGCAGCTGTTTGAATTAAAAGATTTAAAGGCTATTAAAAAATCTCTTAAAAGATCAGTTCTGACCTTAAGTATAATTCAGGATATGTTATTTATTAATAACTATATTTGTAATATAGTAAAGCCTTGGAACGCGAGTCATGGCCCAGGAACAATTTGTGCAACGGGCTGTATAGAGCAATGCAAGGTATGTGCAAGAGAATTTTCTACTCTTTTACTTCTGTCTTAAGCTAGACGAAGACTCCTGTTCTTGATTAAAAGATACAAGGTAGTGGGTTCTCCTATGAACTACTTAGCCATGATCCTCGATAAGACTTTAAAGCACCAAACGTTTCACGCCTATCGTTTGGTCTGTAAATGGAGAGCCGGGCACATGAACAGAGATAAGTGAGAAACTTTCATCATCATTTTCCAACTCTTGACAGCAGACCAAAAGGGGCTAGCGAGGTGAAGTGCAAACACAACCACGTAATGCAATGTTAAAAGTATAAAATATGCTAAAAAAATTCTAAGACATAACCCCCTCCCAGTTCTCAGTACTACCCTCACCAGTGCTTACTACAGCTTCTTTAAGAAAAACACACTCCTTGGCAATAGTTGGGGGGGCTCGGTCATAAACAGCTTCCTCTTTACTCGGCTGGTCTCACTCTCCCTGCCTTCCTGTTAGCCAGCTCTTGTGATTTGCACCATTTTCACTAAAGCCCTGAACTCCAAAAAATTTTGGCTTAAAACACCAAAGCCCCAAGCTTCTTGACTCATTGCTTGGTACCCGCATCAAAGATTCAAGCAACAAGGTGCTGTTTGCTGTAATTTTTAGAAGTCTCCCCCCCAGCCCACTTAAAAGCATTGCAAAAGCTTCCAGCCTTCCAGCTGCTGCCGCGCTGCGGAGGGCCAGGAGAGCGCAGGAGGCTCTTCCCCTGCGTTCCCGCTCAGCGCAGGCTCGTGGGCCCGGCCCAGCCCTCGGGGGCTGCTCCTGCGGGCCGCTGGCTCCCAGCCCAGCGCTGCATTTCCCGGACTGTGGTGTCCATGCAAGGCGCTGACAAATTGCGGTACTGCATCAATAGCCTGAAGCGAGCTTAATGTTTGGTATTTGAGAGGCACACTTTTATTTCAAGGCGGCTTGTGCACTTAAGCAATGAAAAAACAGTACTTCAAAGGGAGCAGAGAGAGAGAGAAAGAGAGAAAATGTGGCCCAATCTCTTACTTTCAGTGTTGGAAAGGGCAAGGGTTTGCTGAAATCTGATTTCCGTGTTGAACACCTTCCTCAAAATGTGAACTTTCCGAAGGGGAGGATTCGGCCCTACCGGCATGGTGGATTTAGGGAACGTTATTTTTCAGTCTTTCTGGGTTTGAACTGCAAGACAAAAAGAACAAAACTCCTCATTCTCAGAACATGCTTTTACTGAGGTGCTAGTAAATTATCTGATAATTGTAGTAGTTCTTTTCTGACATCTCAAAGGATTTGCTTTAAATTGCTCTTATGTTCATGGACAAGAATATCTACCTTTTAAAATCACATTTACATTTAAAAATGGAGCTTTTCAATATCTAAAATAAGGCTTATGGGTTGACTAAGACAATACAGTCCTCCAAAATGAACCACAAATAATATTACACAAGGTAATTGCAGCCAATCATTCAAATCTGGTTCTGCCACACTGTTTATTTTCTTAAGGAACAAAACAAGGAGAGTTTACGTAACTGTACCTTTTCCAGAAAAGTCACATCTTTTGATTTTTCAGCAAATATCCCAGGGACAGTATGGAAACGAAAATCTCCAGCGTCAGCTTCTTCCACTTTTCCATCAGGCTTTTGTTCTCAGGCCGCGCTACCTGAGTTAATTCTTGCCTCTTACCAGAGCGACGGGCTTCTGCAGCCACATGTTGGTGGGAACAAAGCTGAGGAGAGGAAAAGCAATCAGTTATGCCAATACCTGTAGATTATACTAGGCAGGCAGTGCTCCCACGCAGCGTGCGTAAGCCTAGCCTGGCCCTCGTGCCCAGCGCTGTTGAGCAGGGGTCTCAGATGACCTGCTCACTATTTGTTTCCTGCGGGAATCCAATTAACTGGGTCCCATGGAGGAATGGAAATCCACTGCTGCAACTTCTGGGACCAGGAGCTGCAAGAGAAATAACACATGCCCTTTTCTGCATTGCTGCACCTCCTTCATCCACTTCAAATGCTCTGGGGGCCTCCCTGGCCCAGCGAGCAGCACAGGTCGGGACTGCCTGTGCTAGCAAGGAGCTTCAGCAAGCGCCGAGCGTGCAGGAAGCCCCTCCGGGAGTCAAAAGCACTACCCTGGGGAAGGTGCAGCGAGGGGCTTAGGCTGAGAAAAAGCACGAGCCTGGGAGCATGACCCGGGGTGCAGGCCTGTGGGGACCAAATACCTCTCATGCGATGCCAGTGCCAGAGGGACGTGGCGGGTGCTTGCAGAGCAAGCTGTGTGGACGTATGGTCTAATGCGACGCTCCATGACGAGGGTTTCCTTTAGCACTACTGCTAAATAACGCTCCTTAGGAGTTCCCACATGTAACACTGGTTTTGCCCAGGGTGTGTATATCTAACCGTTGTGCCTGGACTGTACATTGGCACTGTGTTGTCCCCTGGATAAATCCTTGTTTCCTCAGAGGGAATCACAGTAACAATTTGGGATGATCCAGATAACAGGGGGAGTTTACAGTACGTGTGTGCTTCTCCACTCCCTCTCCTACAAGGGATGTTAAACTGCACAGTTAAAAGCAAAATGCATTTCTCAGTCTCAGCTGTCATTCAGCAATCACACAGCAGGACCACAGGGATGGCTCTGTTTTCCAGACGTGCGTTACATGCCCACTGCCACTGGAGAGGTGTTGTGGACTGCGTATCCCAGCATCCACCATCATCTCCCCGTCAGCAGCAACACAGAGGCTCGTGCTGCGACATCCCACGTGATGTAGCTGTACATTGAGAGGTGATATTTGTTACTTGGATCTGTCACTCCCACAGCTCCTGGCTGCCAGAAGCTTGATTCCCTCAATCCAAGTAGCTCATTTAACACTTCAACATTAAGGATTGCCACTGAAGCCTATACTCATCACCAGCACTTAACAAGACTTGAGTGCCTGTTTCCATACTCCCTGGCTCCCATTTCTCCAGCACCTTTCACCCTGCAGGATTGCAAAGGAGCTTTGCAAACCGAGGCCTTGCTCCAGAACTCTGCTCACTGGGAGAAATACACTTGCGAATGCCAAATTTCTCTCATTTATGAACATATAGGGTTAAAAAAAAAAAAAAAGATTCAACCCAGAATGAACAAATGACTGTACCATGGCAACTTCATTTTGACAATGTGCATTTGTGTTGGAGTCTCTCCCAATACATCAGCTGTCAAAGAGATTTTTCTATTTATTTTTTCCCTGATGAAGTTTATGAACATCGATGACAAGTCAACATCATTCTCTCCATATCATTACTATTTGTTGCTGGGATGCATGATATTTGCATAATGCTGGCAGCCACAAATTATGCCAGAAGAAGTAACAAAACACTACTGTTGATGTATCAACAAGGATAGAGATATGTACCTATCAGTAGGGATATGACCAAAACAATGTTTGTAGGCAGACATCTGTTATTAGCCCAGCCAGTCAAACTGGGAAAAATCAATAACCTTTCAAGTGCGTCAGTCCTTCTCCAGGTCAAAAATAAAAGCAGTAGCCTTAACAAATACTTATAAAATGAGAACAACTGCTCTAAAATTTAGTTAGATTTGTATCAATAAGATCACCTGAAAGAAAATACAGATGGCACCTGTGAAATAGAAGGGTATTGTAGGGGGACTGGGCAGGCAGAAGGAAATTATAAGGGGACTATCTCTGTGGAGAGAGGCAGATAATTTAGAGTCTGTGGAATATGAAGGACATGAAAAGTTAAAAGATGCCCCAAAATCTTCCTCTCTCACTACGCTCAAAACCTGAAGAAGTTCAAATGTGAGGTTATGAGATACAGACTTCACTTCACTTATGAGATGCTGGGATCCCAGCATCAAGTTTGTCCCTTTCTGTGGACAAACCTGACAGAGACTGTTACCTTTTTAATCCAAGCCCTTGTGGGACTGCCAATGCAAAAACATCTTCCGAAGGAGCCCGAACAGGAGACTATACTCCCACAGCCAGAAATGTATCTTGTGTCATGAGAGGGGAGCAGTGTAGGACAGACTTGCAAGATTTAACTTTTCCCACCTTTTGAATGTAAAAACATTTTTATGTGATTTTATTGAGACAGTGGGATTCTAGGGTTGACAGAAGTAGGGTAACACTTCTTTTTGCTATCACAGATTTCATATCTTCTACATTTTGCTTTGAGCTTCAGATGTTGGTGAATTCAGAAGCCTCTGAACCTGGAAAGCTGTTTGGAAAGAGACCATTAAGTCTAGTTTCAAATCAAAAGGTTTGTCATCCTGTACCCAGCCATGAGTGTCCTAAATTCTTTCTCCCCTCACAAAATAAACATAATTCAGCAAACCCAACATAGAAATGCTTTCAGCTCCCAGAGAGATGCTGTCTCACTTACTGCGTAACTCACCTTACTCTCCCTCACAGACTGGCCCAGGTTTCCAAAAAGGCTTTGGAGCATTTTGTCTCCCGCAGCCCAAATTCTAGATCTGCTCAGCAGGGGAGCTGGACAACCTGTTTACTCCCAGGCTTCAGCGCCCTCGTGCTGGAGCTTCCTGGCCCGTGCCCCCCCCAGGCCTTCCCCCTACCGGGCTGGGGCAGCAGCCAGCCCCAGCCTGGCTGGCGACGGGGCCTTGTGCTGGGCTCCCTCGGTGCCCCCTCAGTGTCGCAGGCTCCTAGCAGGGCCCAGGGCAAGCAGAGCGCAGGAACTGTGTCTTTTGGCACACCTTGTCCGATGCTCAAGGAAATCTGCGTCGCACCCAGAAATAATCACGGCAGTCCGTCTTGTGCAGCTGCAGTCCCGGGGGATCCCAAATAGGGCAACATCTTGGCAGGGGAAAAGTCAGCACCTGGGAAAACTCGAGGAGAGAAATATTCAGTACCACTCGTGAGAGAAGATGAACAACAGGAAAGAAAGGTAATTCAAAATAACCGCATAAATCACAGTCAAGTGCTGTCACTTCTGCACCAAATCACGCTTCCACGCTGCTCTCTCTTGTGCTGCCTGCTGTTACAGTCACTCCACAGAGCACTGCTACAGCGAGCAGAGGGCTGCAGCTGCATCTCCTTTGCTTTCCTTCTCTTTCAGCTTTTGACTGTTCTGTGCATATTCAGTTTCCCGGTTTCTTTAGTTCCTTATGTTTTCTTAGTTTTGTTTGTATGAGTGGTTTTTATTATTTTTATAACAACTGCTTATAGTTTAGTAATTTGTTATGTATATGTTACTATATTTATGTTGTGATTTAGTGACTCTTACAGTATCTCCCGGTGTGTTTTTTTTTTTTAATTAAAAAAAAAAAAATTTTTTTAAGACTGCAAGAGCTGGGCCTGTTCAGCCTGGAGAAGAGAAGATTGAGAGGGGATCTCATCAACGTGTACAAGTATCTGAAGGGGGAGTGTCAAGAGGATGAGGCCAGCCTCTTCTCCGTGGTGCCCAGCAACAGGACAAGAGGCAATGGGCAGAAACTGAACCACAGGAAGTTCCATCTGAACGTGAGGAAAAACTTCTTCACTGTGAGGGTGACAGAGCATTGGAACAGGTTGCCCAGAGAGGTGGTGGAGTCTCCTTCCCTGGAGATATTCAAAAGCCGCCTGGATGTGATCCTGGGCAATATGCTCTAGGTGACCCTGCTTGAGCAGGGAGGTTGGACTAGATGATCTCCAGAGGTCCCTTCCAACCTAAACGATTCTGTGATTCTGTGATTCTATCTGAAATGACTCTCTTTTTTCCTAAGGAATTCTCCCTAGGACAGCAGCTGATGGTGCTCCTTCAACTGAAGGATTCTGAGGTCAAAATGCAGCTTGAATGATGCAGACACATATTCGGATGATTTGTGTAAACTTAAATAACATGATCCTCCCTTCAAGAACAGGAAAAACAAATGGCCACTCGTGTATGCTCTGCCTGTGCACAAACACGCCTTTAAAAATTACTCAACTTGAACAGGACAGATGAAATGCAAGAATCAGATGTAGGTAATAAAATTCAGCTTGGATAAATAAAAGTTATATGAATATATCTACTGAAGAAGTGCTAAAACAACTGGTTCTCATGACTGTAAACTCCCAATGATTTCTGGGGAAAGCTGTAAGTGGATATGGATGGATGACTGAACAGGGACACATGGTGGTGCTGGTGTTGCAAAGCAACCTTGGAAATTTTTAACATGGAAAATGCACGGGGGGAAAGTGTCGTCTTCTTGGGAATACTAATCCTCAGACAGGAAAAAAAAGTACAAGTTCCCTGCATATCAGGGGATAAATCCACGAGAGGTAACTTAAATAATGTAGATGGGAACCTAAAAGCATATTATAGGAAAAGCATAAAAGCATTATTTTCTCCAAACACAAATGAGAGAGCAAGAGCAGAGCAACAACCTTCCAGTCCTGCAACAGTGGGAGCGTCTGAACCGTGCTGCCTAGATGACATTTAAGCTGGAATTTTATTTCCATGATGAAATCCTGCTAGCTGTTCTCACAAGATGTCACTTAAAATGTCAGAAATCCAGAGATATTCTGGAATTCCCAAAGCTTCTTACTCCACCCCACAAAATGGAGATGTTGCAAAATTAAGTATTTCCCCAAAATGCAGGCATCAGAAGCAGAAGCTTCTTCCAGGTTTGAAGAGGGTACTGAACCTATTATTATAATCTTGACCCAGTTTTCACCAGCTATCTTTTATGGCTGTGCTAGGCAGTAATGAGCAGAAATATATCCTTCTCCAGAGGCAAAATAACAAAACAGCTCAGTAAAATAAAACTAAGTAGATCTGATAAAGCACTGTGAAAAAAAATACTATTGACTAAAAGCTGTCAAATAAACGTGCTCTCCAAATGAGGTGTTTACCTTTGCTTACTGCAAAGCACGTGCCTTCCATACCAGTATGGCAAATAAAGCAAATAAATATACATTTTAAACAAAGATCTGTCTTAGTAGCTTCTGTAGTTAAGGATTTACACAGTGTTTGGAGTAAAACTATACTTTTGAGGGATCTACTATCTCATTCTGTCAGCCCTGTGACCTTCTTGTCCTTCGGCTCAGAGGTAGAGACGACGCTCAGGGCAGACATCAAGATACTTGGAAATACTACATTACTTTTGATAGTGGAGACTTCTGGGGATGAGGTGGTTGGGTTTCAGCCTCAACACGGATGTAGCAATGAGAATTAGATGAAAAAGACATGTCTACTCATGGTGGCTAACACAAGAGAAAAACTTCCTAGCACCAATAGTCAAAAAATTAAAACTGGAAACTAAAACTGACCTGCTGCTGATAGGGAGAGCGACATAAAGTCTACCTGGCTTTTGTTAGCCTGCTTCTATCATAGCAACACTTGTAATAGCTATTATCACTTACATCAGGGATCTCACTGGACACCCAGCATCTCTGCGAAGAAGCACCACAGTGCACTCACACATGATCAGTGCTCCAGATCTGTGTGCTCCCAATATGACTGACTGCTTGCTCTATCTACATTACATGAAGAAATATTTCCTGGGGAAAGTAGGCTTCGACAGCAATTTCTTTTAAGTATATCATTCATTTAAGATTGGATCCTTCAAAGGATAGGTTGGCATTTAAAATGCCTTGCTACTATTGAAAAGGCTTGGGTTTTTGGCAGCATCACAGTCACTACCGCTTTGTCAGCGGTCGTATGTCTCTGAGTGGCATCAGTGAGGCAAGCAGCACTATGCACACTGTGGGCTGCCACAGCTCGGGCTGCTCCAAGGGATTTGTTCCCTGTCTGCAAGCTCCGATACGCTCCTAGAGGAAGAGTCACTCCTGTGGTGACAGGCTGGTAGCTCCCAGAGCTGACATTTCTCACTTGTGTGCAGGAGGTGGAAAGAAAATGCAAGATGGCATGGAAAAATGCTTCCCAGCTCAGACTGAGAAGTGAGCTAATTATTTTTAACTTGAAAATCTATCCATCGCTTAAAATTCTCTCAAATTTAGATTTACATTTAGCTTGGAGATTCAGCGTACTTCCTGTAAGGCACAGTCATTGGAGATTTTGCTCTCATTTGGGGATTCTTCACCTGTTCATCTTCTTAGAAAAAAAAAAAAAGAAATGAAAATGGAATGGCATACAGCCCTGTGTGTGACCTTCCTTCATCCCTTTCTGTTTGTTTCTTTTTCTTACTCTCTCTCGAGTTCCTGATATATGTGAGAGAACATAACTAAATGAAGGCTATGTTACTACACTGAGGGGACCCCCTTCTTTTTGACTGTGTAAACTGCATAGAAAGCGGATGAACAAAGAGGAATTAGCACCTGGATATGAATCCACTTTTGACTGATGGCTGTGTTGACCAGCACTGGCTAGCTACACAGGAAACTGCAGCTCGAAAGAGGCGAGCCCTAATGTGGGAATGACAGGTCGTGCCAGCTGGCGAGCCGGGCAGCAAAAACAGGCAGAGGGTCTCTGAGAGAAATTTCATTTGGTGAAAGATAAGCCCTGTTCTACCATCTTTATCCTTCTTCAAGGGAAATTGTAGCAAGCCCCTTCAACTGACAGAAACTTCCTGTATGCTTAAGGGAATAATTACTTACTGCAAATATCAGTATCTGACTGTCAGCTTACATAAACGGCCCCCCCAGTCAGTCTTTATGCCAGGCTGCATTATGTAGGAGCTACGTCTCCTTGGCCTCAGGTAGATGGAGAAAAAAAACAGTTGTTCGGGGATTGTGTTTTTGCCCTTCTGTGCACGTGAAGAGACATAGTCAGTGACTTCTCCTGTGCAGGTTGTTTCTCCTACCACACTCAATCGTGGCAGTAAACGTACCCTGCAAACCACGGTGCAGACACCGAGCAGAGTATTACCTATCCTGGCAGTGCCAGCAGCTCGGCGGCGTGCTCGTTTAGGTACGACCACTGCTACATCTGCAGCTGCCACATACCAGGAAATCTCCGCCACACTGAGTCTGTTCAATCTTGCCAGTGCTCAGATAGGGGGATTTGGTCCTGTGTGTTTCCAGGGGCAAGATTTTCTCTTGCAGCAAGACAGCTCCATTAGCCCTTCTCCATCCCGCCTAGCCCTTTGGCAGGAGGCGGCTGAGGCGATTTAACAGCTCAGCATTTCAGAAAGGGGCAAGTCCTGCTCCTTCCTCCAGCTCCAGTTCCAGCTCTTTGCTGCTCATTGCGGAACATCCCAGCAGGACCTGATGAGCGCTTGAGCAAAGGAAGTGGTGGGACCAGGGAGCTGGAAGAGGAAGAGATGGTTGGGGTCAATAGAGTCCAGCAAGCCCTCTCCTGTTTGGCAGCTTGCAGAAAGACCTCTGGAAAATTAAGAGCTATTGCTAATAGATGAACATATTCCAGAATCTTCACATTGCCTCACATTTTTAAGTGAGGGTTTGATACTCATTCAGTGCTTTCAAGGGAAAAGATTAAATGATAATATTGCTTCCCAGCTTGTCCCCAGCTTGGGCACTGATGATGATGGTGATTAAGCAGAAGACCTGGTTGGCAGTGGCAGACTGTTTCTCTAACTAGAGGAAATCCAGCCATTGCTATCTGCTCCTCATGCACGCTCCAAAGTACTGCATTCACTTCAGTATCAGCTCATGACTATAGGTCTCTTCATCGCCAGGAAAGAAGCTACGTTGCTCTAATAAGGAGATATTTTAAAGAAGGATAAATTGCTGGGGGCACAGAGCATTATTACTGAACTAGTTGCTTCAAAATTTATGTTAGGCCTCTAAAATGGTTCCGAGACTAGCATAAGATAATGACATTAAAAATAGCATTCTTTTAATTTGCCTTCTGAATTCTGAGCCATTTAATGCTCATATTTTCAAAGATTTTGTTCACAATGAAGTTTTCTTTTTCTGTTTCTGAAAGATTTGCACATCATCACAGGACTGCAGCAGCTAACTTTGCTACAAATAAGCCATACTAATGGAGCAGGGTGAACGTGTTGCCTGTGAACTATAGAAAATGTAGAAAGAACCAATAAATACACTAACATTTGATGTTGTATCTTTCTCTTCTCCCTCTGACTTCCTTTCATCTGATGACTGCCAATTTGGACTAAACCTCTTTTTTGTCTCAAAAGTGAAGCAGGAACTCAAAGGAAATATTAGCACGTGATGGCATGGGCAGAAAAAGGACTACTCTAGCTCCTGAATGAATGATGCAGCAAGGGCTGGTGAACAGGTCTTCCGGTGCACTCTGTCCGCTTTGCCCTTTTCTAATATTTCTGAGCTTTTTATGTTAAAATAATGTGGTTTTTTTTTCCCAAAGAAGTCCAACTAGTCAGTCATTAAACACTCCACTTCATAAAATATATTTGCATCTCACTGAAGACTAAGTTCTGCCCAGAACTCCATCTATTCTATCTCATTGCAATCAGTTTTGTGAAGGGATTAGTGAGCTGACTTCCACTTGCATCACAACCTAAATCAGGCCCTAATTTAAAAAGTTATTTGCTAATTAGCATTGACCTAGTGCCCCAGCGCTGGGGAAAAAAACAGCATGTTTGCAACTCTTGCCCTCAAGGAAAAATATCAGTTGGGTGTGTTTTAGAATGAATTTGCTTATGTGAAGTATGACACAGAACAATTGAATGAATGAGGTGAAGTTGAAATGCAACTGTTTTTTTTTTTAAACCAAACACAAACCTTTCTTAGACAAACCACTCACTCCTTTTTTTGAGCTATACTTAGTTTGCAGCACTGGCCTAGTAAAGGCTGGTGCAACACAGTATCCCATAATTTTTGGATTAGGAAGAAAGATAATCTCTAATTGTACTGGCTTGATGCAGTAAGTGAAAAGAAAAGGCTAGAAGGGATTATCTCTGAATCAAGCAGTGCAGTCACCAGATTGTCTTGCTTTCTCAACTAACTGCACAGACTTCTCACATCCTCATACGCACTACGTTACAACATATTCCTCATCATACTGCTAAAAGAGTAAAACTCACAGCTATGATCTCTTGCCACAAGAAGAATAAAAGACAGAAGAGGACTTCCCTACCAGTGTTTTGGGTCCTTCTAACAGCTGGGACTTTGTCAGCTGGAAGCGTTCAAGTGTTGTGAAGAAGGGGACTACGCCCCATAAGCAAGAACGGGCAATGAGTTATCTACAGATGACTCGCCCGGGCGTGCAAGGACAGCACGGAGAGGGTAAAGTGAAAACTGAGGTTAAAACCAGTCAGCAACATGATAGGTAACATGAAAGGCTTTTATAGGTAAGTCAGCAGCAGAGGAAGACCAAGGAAAATGTGGGCCTGTTGCTGAACGGAGCAGCTGACCTAGCAACAAAGGATCTGCTTTCTTTGCCTTGGACCGTACTGGCAAGGTCAGCTCTCAGACCTCCCAGGCCTCTGTGACGCATAACAAAGTTTTGGGAAGAGAAGCAATATTGTCGATAGAAGATGATCAAGTTAGGGGCTGCTTAAATAAGCATACACAAGTCAATGGGACAAGATGGACTTTCATACAGGGATGTCAAGGGAGCTGGCTGCGGCCGTTGCAAGGCTATTTTCTATTATCTCTGAAAGCTGCATTGATCAGGAGAAGCACTTAATGCCTCAAAGAAGGCCCATCCTCAAAGGCAAAAAGAAGGATCAGGAAGCCACAGACCTCAGTTCTTGGAAAATAATGAAGTAGGTCTTCATGGAAACTGCTTTCAAACACACGGAAAACAAGGAAGGGTCTGAGGAGAGCCAGCACAGTTTTATCACGGCCAAATTATGCTTGACCACCCCGACAGCCTTCTGTGATGAGATGCCCAGGTCTGCACAGAACTTTGGATGTTGCTTACTGGGACTCTACCACAGCTTTTGACACAATCATCTCCTATAGTAACCTGGTAGCCAGACTGGAGAGATATGGACTGCGAAATGGGCCAAAAACTGCCTGGACCATTGGGCTGAAAGGGTCAACAGTTTGAACAGTCAACAGTTTGAAATCGAACTGGCAGCCAGTTCTTCAAGGCTCGATACTGTGTTTGATGCTGTATAAAATCTTCATCAATAACCTAGAAAAGGAGGTGGTGAACACCCTCATCAGGTTTGGAGCTGATACCATATCTGGGAAGCGTTTGCCTTGCTAGAGGACAGGGCTCCCATTCAGAGGGACCTCAATAAACTGGAAGAGTGAGCCAACAGGAGACTCATGAAGTTCAACAAGAGCAAATGCAGGGTCCAGCACATGGAAAGGCATAAACCCCTGCATTGCTGCAGACTAGGAAATGACTGGCTGAGGAGCAACTCTGCAGAAAGCCACCCGGAGGACCTGATGGACAAGCTGAACATGACTCAGCAGCGCACCCTTGTGGCAAAAGAGGCCAACCACACTGCACTGTGGCCAACAGTGCAGCACTGGGCTGCATTAATAAAAGCATAGCCGTTGGGTGAGAGGAGTGACTGATTATTCTCCTTTATTCAATATTTGTGAGGCCACATTAGGAATATCAATTTTTAGTTTTGACTCCTCAGTTCAAGAAAGTTATGGACAAATTGCAGAGAGTCCAGAGGACGGCCACTAGGATGGCTAAAGGGCTGAAAGGTATAATGTGTGGGGAGAGGCTAAGGCAGTTAGGCTTATTTAACCTGGAGAAAAGAAGCCAGGGAAGTGGGAGGGAGGAAGAATCTAGCTGCAGTCTTCCACTCTGTAAAAGGAGTTTAGGGGAAGATGGAGCCAGACTCTTCGCAGAGAGAAACAGCAAAAGAACAACGCAATGGCCACAAGTTGCAGCAAGGGAAATTCTGACAAGGGAAAAGTTTTCACAATGAGTACTTCAGCCCTGACACAAGTTGCCCCAAGAGACTGTGGAGCCTCCATTCTTGGAGATTTTCAAAACTTGACTGGACATGGCCCCAAGCAACCTGATCTTAGGATTAGTCGTACTTTGAGCAGAAGGTTGGATCAGATCCAACCCAGAGGTCCCCTGCAATCTACATTTTTCTATAATTAATGCAGTTTGTCTGAAAGCTCATACGCACAGCATAAACAGTGACACAGCCTACAGACAGCCAATGATGAGCACTTAACTAAGCAGCTTTCTTGAAAATCTTGGTTCTCACTATTCCCTAACTTTCTTTTGTGATGAAAAGCTCAGCTCCCCATCTTTCAGCTCCCACGACGCAAGGTCTTGCTCAGACCTTGCTCTGTTGCTCTTCTACATGACTGTAAACTTTTCAGAGTTTTGCTTCTTAGCACAAAGCTATAATATGCTGCCCAATTACTTCAGGATTTCTTGGCACTCTCTCAGGGAATCACCTGGGAAGGTGTATTGCAGAGGGTACTCATCCTCCCTTTGAGCCAAAACTGTGTGGTGATGATCTCCACCTGAGCATGACAAACAGGAAACCTCTGGGATTTGATAGGAATGAGAACCTGCAGCAGACAGGGGATAAGACCAATAAAAACTGCAATTAAAACTCTCCCACTGCTTACATCCTACTGCTAGTGCACAAGGCATTACTATGTCCTATTAATCTCAGAATCATAACCTATATTTAATTTTGAAGTTTGTGTTTTTATTTCAGACCTGAAGAAGGAAATGTGCCCCAAAGTTTGCCTAATTTTACAGCTATTGCAGTTGCTCTCATAACAGACTCCACTTTTGTTTACAAATCTTATTTTTTCTGAATATCATGACTAGAACAACACTATCATTTTTTAATTGATATACACTTCTTTTTGTTGTGGAAAGAGAAATACTAGATATATGAGCTAGAATCTATTATGATGTATTATCTGAACAATGTACCACATATTCTTCCTCAGTTAAAATTTTGGCTCTGTGGATTTCATAAAATAGAGATGAAAATAAATGTAATATATGCATAAGGCTATCTACCAAAAAAAGGGTACATTCATCAGCTGTGTATATAGATACATAACACTGTATATTCAAAGCAAATAAAAATTCTTTCAAAAGTTTCCCCTCAAGAAGTCCAAACGAGCTACTTAGTTGGACTATGGCAATCTTTGGCTTCCTTGGGCATAGCTCATTTTCCCCCGTACGGAAGAAAGAACAGTATCTCCAACAGCACTGAAATGTTCCAGCAGAATAGTCTGAGCAGGTTTTCATAACCTGTTCCTTCCTGAAGTATTTAATAAATGCTTTTGCGAGCAGTAAAATTGTTGAAGTGACGTCCAAAGGATACACTGGCTTCTAGGCAAGGATCCATTGAGCATAGCTTGTATTTTTCACCTTCTTGCATATGTGGTAAGATGCAGGTTACTTGGTTGTGCTTCAGCCACTTAATTCTTTTCCTTCTCACAGCACTAGAGCCAGAATTCACTCGGTAAGTTAAAAGAAAAAAAAAAAGGCAAGATGAGTAAAAATATGACTAAAGCTTAGATGCTGGCACATTGTACTGATACGAATGATCGACCCACTTTCTGCTAGAACAGAGCATGATAAAAACTTCTCTGAGAGGCGACCCCTGCAGCAGTTACCTGCCTCTCCAGAGATGTGCAAATGCCTTACCTTTAACAGCAGAAATAAGTTGGATTTGGCTGCAGGAAGCACTACAGACCACTTTGCTTTTTGGGCCTCAAATTCTGCCTTTTTCTCTCCCTGGCTAACTAAAATCAGCCCACTCCAGGACATCCCCAAATCCTGGCCTACACAAGCAGAAGAAACGGGCTTTGGGTCAACCTTTTATGTGCTATTATTTAGAATATCACCGAGTAGTGTTATTTTCAGCCTCTGGTTAATTGTTTCTTAGTACATTAGATGAATCCTAATCCTCCCTCTGCTTAATTCAAAGTGGATTTTAAATATCTCTAAAGGCAATTCTTACAATTAGATAAGAGCTTCAGAAAATCCCAAGACCTTGCTTTTAAACCTATAAAATAATATCTATCTTCCTCTTTTTTTTTTTAAACAAGATGACCTGTGAAATACTAGAAACTTTCCCTTTAAAGTCAATGTCCTAATGCTGTTTCAATTCTATGCTTATTTCCTCCCCCTTCACCTGTCTATAAACGTAACAGTAGACAAATACAGAGTCTACCTTTTGTCTGGCAAGCAGTATTCATGTCATGGTTCAACAGAAACGGGTATTAACAGAATCAACAAGTAAACATACTGTTGTTGCCCTCAAACGCTGTTTTCACCCATTGCCCGGCAGGCGAGGCGGGCATTTCTAACTCATGGCTTAAAAAACTAGCCCGGACATCCACTGGCTCAGTTTAGAACAATGGCTTCGTACTTGCCTGCAGCTATTTTTGCTTGAAAAGAGCCTCCATTCCAGGCAGCTTTCTAACAGTGATTTAATTTTCCAGGTTTAACTCAAGAAGTTATACCATTCTGATTCCAGTCAGAAAGTTTCTCAAGTACTTTTAGCACCTGTCTTTCCAAGAGCAAAGCTGGAATACACTGTTATTTCTCCAGCAATCAATTGTCAGAATTATTAAACTGAACACTTGCTACATCTTCATGCCTTGGGAGAAGCTAATTTCTGACCAAGGGGTGTGGTGCTCTGGCCACTGTATGTAAACAGCATATTTTCCTGCCCCAATTTCTTTCTCTCAATCTACAATGCTCCATTTCATCCCCCCTCCCCCCAAAAAGCATAGTTTGTCCAGTTTTTGTACATGTTCTCTTCTATGCAAAGAACAGCACAGGTGAGTTTATTCTGCATGCTGGAATCAGCACTCCTTTGTGTCTGGTTCCAATGCTCAGCAACATAAGATACCGTGTCATCACCTTATGTGTCTACATCTGGCGCTCATAAAACGGCAAAGATCCGTGCAATAAATACACTGACCTATGCTATATCTCACCATCTGTTGCTTGCTGTTAGCAAGGGCTCCTTTAAGGCTGGGGGTGCCTTATAGCACAAGCTTAATAGTAGCGCTGGAAAAACTGATTTTGTTCCAGGAAGTGGAGAGAAATTTATGACTCCATACAAACACTTATCATGACACAATTAATCCATTACAAAACAACTCAGTGAATAACTGGGGTATGTCCACAGGACATTTGCACTGAATTTAGTTCTCGTTAAAAGCAAATCTTGATCGTTACTGCAGACAACACTTTTAGTGTATGTTTTATTGACCTCATATATTCTACCTGCTGCTCTCCTGGCAACTAAGGTGACTAACTGACATCACGAGTAACCGAGGTAGCTCAGGTGACCAAGATGACTCAGATTCCCCTTGATAGTGCCACAGGCAAGGGCTGGACGTAGGAACCTCTGCGTTCCTTGGACTGACACAGTTGAGCATAGACATAATTTTTATAGATTATCATTTATAGATTATTATTTTTATAGATCTCTATAGAGATTATAAACATCATTTTACTTTACAGGCTTCATTGACTGTAATAAGGATCTTACAGTTACAGGCAAACTTTAGGCATGTTCATGTTTCAAGCGCAGGAACATGCTTTAACGGTCAACTGCCAAGGTAGGATAAACCCTTATTTTACTCCAAACTACCTAAAAAAATGCCCATTTATGAATATTCACTATATACCCTAATGCAAACATCGAAAAATATCAACTGGTATAATAAATGCTTTGAATACAATTTAGATAGACTGTAGATGCTTGGCCTTTTTTTTTTTTTTTTATTTTTAGGACTGAGGCAGTAAGCTTTAAAAACAATTTTATAGGATGTTTTTGCAATTATAAAAGGAAAATGAAATATTCTCTATGCATCCTCATAGCCACAAGCATGACATCATTGCTTTTAACAGTCTCATTTGTAGTTTTCCTGTAGTGCCTTAAAACAAGCAAAAATACTGAAGCCTGACTTTAAAACACAGAAATACCAAGACAAAAATATAGCCAGAGAATAAAACTGTGCAAGATGTATTTTAAGTTTCTTACAAAAATTTATGGAATTAGCATGGATTTTAATAAGCCTGATTGTCTTGCAACACAGTTCATATCATTTGGACTCATTATGTGTATTTTTCTTGCTATCACAAGTATTTTGTTTACACATTTAAGAAGAGAAAGTCAAACTAAAGTGTAACTGATAATAATTACAAAGTATAGGGATTGCATGTGGCATTCCTACTCCTGAGAACACCTGGCTTTTTTTTTAACCCTATCTTTCCCCTCCCTGATTTTGATGAGCATGGGAGATTTTACACAAACAACAGGGCAAGAAAAATTACTTTACAAGACAAAGAGTGAAATATACTACCCAAAATGCTGTCAACGGCTCATTGTAAACCTGGGAAAAGCAAAACGATAAAAATCGATTTCTGCAAACAATGTTTCACTGGCGATATTTTAGACACTCTGTAATAGTAGACAGCAAGGAAAAAGGGTCACGATGTCTTAAAATTAAAGACAATAGTATATACTTTATGACAATTAGTACATACTTAAGCCATCAGGTTTAAAATTTGTACCTCAAACTTGACACAGAACCGTAGATTTAAGCACACAATTAATAAAATATAACAGACCATAACTGAACATGGCATTGCAGCCTACAGAAACAAAAGAGATCTTGCTTAAAAGCAGAGTTTGCATTGAGTGCTGCAGCAGAAGGCCCCATGTTGAAAACCTTCTCAAAGTTACAACAGTTGACGTGAGTTTTATATGCAAATAAGTAGTAAACTATCGAAATGGCTGCATTTGAAGCTCTTCTGAGCTCTAAGAAGTGTGATGGCCCCCAGCCGGTAGTTCTGCATTTTCACTCCCCTGTGTGTAAGTGCGTGCCCCTCACAGCTGCCCCAGCAACAGCAGCTGGACGAGTGCCCCTGCGCTCTCTCACTCTCCCAGTTTCCCATGACAGAAAACTAATTCACCCTGTTCTCCCATTGCCAGCACTGCCTGGAAAGACACCAAAGGAGGGGAGGGAAACAAAGACTGTGCAAGGGAGCGGGGAACAAGCATCAGAAGAAGTGAGGGAAGAAAAGGAAAAGGCATATTCTGTTTGCAGTTATGCCAGGCAACTCTGGGTTAATCTAACAGGCAGGACTGCAGAATTTGTCCCCTGTAGAGACAAAGGATGACGAGAGAGATACTTAGGATCCTCAACTGGATCAGCTGTTTAAAAAGCTAACCCTTAAAACACAAAACAAATAAACAACAACTAATAAACACTTTGCTTTCTCTACAGAGAAGGAAAGATTTCTCTCCAAGTACAAGAGAGCCAAGTGCAGAACGTAAGAGTATAAGTAACTCTTTGAAACTATCCGTTTACAAAAATTAAGACAATTTAGTTCTAGCTAGAGCCAGAGTACGAGCAAAGCCCTTCAGCCTGATTTAGGACAGGAGTACAGATGTACTTCTGACTACCACCAGGAATTAGCACAGCTGAATCTTGTAACAGCAATGATTCTATGCTAAATCTAAACCATATTGTCCTAAGTTTGTATTATAACTTGTGAACATAACTAGAGGAAAAAAAAGAGCTAGCTATGTTCATTTGTCAGCTATGTCCATTTGTCATAGCACTTTTTACTTAACGAAAACTTCTGATCATTTATACTAACATTAAATATTTAAATGTTAATATATTTACTTTTTTTTATTGTATAGTTGAACTGAGCCCCACAGAGTTTGCAACCGTCAGAGGTGGGTACAAACCAAGTTGCATTAGACATCGTTAGAGGAATACTTGAATATGAAGAACTAATCCTGTAATAGGTACTTCCCACCCATAAATGGAGGATCGGAGTGCCTCAACAAAAAATACCAGTATTAATTAAGAAAGCAGAGGTACACCTTTTAATAATTCACAGTGAAAGATATCTTCTAGAATGGCAGTGGATGATAATATTGAATAATTCAGTGCTATAAAATGGACAACGGTACAGTAACTTTATAGGTGAGTATTTGCAACAGAATCCAACAAAACCACTTGATATGCGGACAGCGTCATGTGTTCAGGAAAGGCTAGACATTGAAGATACTATTTCCTACTGAGAAGGCATCAAACACTTTTTGAACTGGTTTTTACAACAAAATTAAAAGCAGCTGATAAAAACTATTGAACTAAATGACTTTAGCCTGGGCTTACTCTCTGGGAAACTTGAGCCCAAAATATCATAAGCATGGCCCTATAAAGACAGTATCTCGAGTCAGCAAATCTATATTCTCAATAGGCAGAATTAGCCACAACATCAAGTCAGTTTAATTAGCAAGGGAATAGCTCTTCCCCCTTACTTTTCACTCATCCTGTCACTTTACAAAGCTGCTGCAGCAGGGAGAGACTATGCCTGTCAAGTTTGGAAGCAAATAAACAGAAAACTTTAGCAGTTGTTGAACGCTCAGATTTAATTTAAGGTCACAAATACGGGAGAATTTTAGTTTGTTGCCTGGCTAGCAGCTGAGAGGTAGATATCCATCAGTAGGAAAACTACAAGTCTTTATTGCTGCATGAGAAAAAAAACGTGTATTGTATTTAATTGTAGAAGTTTGGCAAAATATCAAAGACCGTGGGGGGAAAAAAAAAGAAAACGGAAAAGAAAGATTTGAGTGACAGACCAGGAAAGACAAGGCCTGCTGCTGTTCAGCCTTTTTGTCTGAGCGCTGGCAAGAATTATTAGCCTGTTGTGGCTTTCCTCAGCAGAGGCCAGCCAAATTACATAAAACAAAACACTTTTGGAATTTCCTTCTCAAATTGTTTTGATGACAAGCTCCCATTAAGAATTGTCATGAATTCATCAGAAAGTAGATGCAGCTTCCTCCTTGTGCTAGGACCTGACCATCGCAACTCCTTCTCTGGCACCGAACCTTGACAAAACGACGTCATGGGGCCACGTACCCCGAAAGATCGCAGCCGAGCAGCGCACAACGCTTCGTCTCTCTGGGAAGCCGGCGGAAAGACACGGAAAGATCTCAGGCGCTGACCCTGCAACAGACGTACACGTTGAAGTAACTTGCGCTTGCTAAACGTTTTGTATTTGTTGTAAAGCTTTATACAATAAAGTCAAGCCTGCGGGGACTGTAGGAAGAGGATTTTGGAGAGGATTAGTGAACTGGGACACTACTCCAGGCAATCCGAAACGGTAACAAAAACTCAGTAAAACTATGAGGTAATGACATAGAGATGGATGATTTCCTTTGACTATCTGTTAAGTTTAAATATTTAATTCTCAAAGTAAGGGAATACATACAGACATAATTATGTAAAAACAGGCAGAAAACCTAGACTGTTAATAAAATTTTCAAAAAGTATGGAAATGAAGAGCTGGCAACACCATTAACATGTTCTAAACGCTTAAACGCCCTGGAAAAATAAATCCCCGAATACTATACTCCCTTCGGATTACACAGGGGATTAAGTCATCAATCACAGACCTGCGGCACCGCGACGAGGGAGGGAAGGCTCTCACTCTTCCTCCACGACAAAATGGCTGAGGAGATGCTAACCCTCCTCCGATTACCCCGAGGTAAGGCACAGCAAATTCCCTTTTCTTTCCCTCAACCCCGCTCATTTCGCGCACAGGGGACACAGCAAGGGGGCACCGCTGTCCCCCCCCCCACCCCCCAAGAAACCGGGGCCACCAGCGCCCTGAGCCGGGCCCGGCCGGGC